ATTGTTTTTTAGGTAGCCTTTTATAAACTAATGGATGATTTTTACCTTATCTTAAAAATTGAGTGTTTTATACCAAATTTGGTATTAACAAATAAAATCCTTACTAGACTGTGACACCAAAAGCTTCCATTAATTTGTTGGCTAGTTGTTTAGAGCATGGTACAAGCTTTAAAATTATGTATAGCATGTTGCATATACATTTAACATTAATAAGATAGAGCCATTAGGCTAATGTGACTTTCTTGTATTTTGCTGATTAATTGAGCCAATGGAGCATCATCTTCACTATCGTCAGATACATCATCAGCCAAAAGTCTAGCTAACGGACAGTCGTCATCATCTGATGATGATACAACGTAACTGGGCCGATGGTGCAGGCGACAATAGACAAACAACAACAATGGTTTGGTTTTCTTATTATTAAATCATACAAACACGAAATTTGCATAAAATATGTATATAATGTGAAGCTATAAGATAAAGAATAGAAAGAAAATTACGACTATGTTTACAAATATAAATGCATTATTTTACGTTACAAATACGCGTCTTTGCACCTACATTTGTCCAAACCACTGATAAACTTTAAAACCATAAACCATAAACCTAACTTGACTTTTCCGACTCAAAACATTAATTTTAGCGTTTCTTTAGACTACTTTACGTACTTTTAACGTCCAACAAGGCGTCTTCAATTCGCGCTTTTGTTTCAGTTCATCGCGGGCGACAACAAATATTCCACGTACGTCATGTTATTTTAGTCAAATCAACGTAACATTCACACCGGCAATGGGAGAATTCCCATTTCTTCCTTCATTCGTCTTCGTAGCCTTCAACTGGGTATATAACCGCAATCTTGCTTATAGGACGTGAATAAGTGCCTTTCGTTAGATTCACCATCACATTTCTTACCAATCCATCTTGTCCCGGAAAGACTTGGACAATTCTTCCAGTCTCCCATTTACCTCGTAATTCGTTTGGATCCGCCAATACTACGCAGTCATTCACTTTAACGTTTCATGATTCGGCATTCCACTTTTTTCTTGGAACCAGTTGTGGTTGACTGGTAGTTTCTCGACCACTTTTTCCAGAAGGCTTAGACAATTCGTTGGCAAAATTCAAATCTATGGCGTGGGTTTTCCGTCTGTCGGAATGAACCTTGAGGGATTGTACTGGTTGCCCTACCAAGTAGGATATCGTTAGGGCACAAGTAGGAACCATTGTCAGGGTCCGTTGGAATGCGACCGATGGGTCTTTGGTTAACTAAATTGGTAATCTTTAACAGACAGGTGTATAGCTCGAATGGTGCAAGAACTGCATCACCTATAGCTTTCTTGAGGATTGTTTTGATAGTCTTAACCATAGCTTCCGTGGCACCATTCTGAGGAGGAGCAAGAGGGGTAGTAAATTGCCATTTTATGCTGCGTTCTGCACAGAATTCTTTCAACTGCTTTACATTCCATCCTTTGATCATCAGGCGTAATTCGTTTTCAGCTCCTACCATTCGAGTGCCATGGCCGGACAGGATGAACTTAGGATAACCTCGATAAGAGAAGAATCGTCGTAATACTTGCATAAGTTCCATAGCACTAGCATCAACAGCAAGTTCACAGTGGATAGCTCGGGTATTGAGACATGTGGATACAACACCGTAATGTTTACATGTCTTGTTTCGACCGACTTTCACTTTCAATGGGCCGAAATAATCCACTGACGAGTAGAGGAATGGTGGCGTGTGTGGCTGCAGACGAAACTTTGGCAAATTCGCCATCAACTGCGTTTCCACTTTCGATTCGATTTCGTGGCAGTCTGTGCAATGACTCTTGATGACCATTGAAATTCTGTGGGCTTTGATGATCCAATACTTCTTTCTAGTTTTGGCGACCGTGGCTGCGATACCGTTATGACCAACTTGATGAGCATCACGTATGATGACCTTCGATATGTGACTACTATAGGGCAATAACACTGGTCGTTCATTGTCGTAGGAAACAAGTGACGGATCTACGCGTCCTTCAACACGAATTAACTTCTTGTTATCGACGTAAGGCGAGAGTGTTTTGAAATCTCCTTTCTTCTTTCTTTGAAAGAGGCTTGATTGCGCCTGTTTGAGCCAGTATTCTTCCGCGGCTTGGAGCTCTTCGCCAGTTAAGGGTCCCAATTCCGGTTGAGTGTTCTCGTCGTTATGCTTCGCACGTAAATTACCGAAGAATCTCTGGATATAGGCAGTAACTCTAACAATTCGTTTCCACTTGGCATAGCGTTGACAATCAAATGGTGACGGTAACCTTTCTTCTCTCTTTGTTAATTTCTTGCGCGTCCAGCATACAATTTCCATTGGCCATTGTTCCACTGGTAGCGTTAAGAAAGATCGACCGTTAAACCACCTACCGTTGAGCTCTTTCGGTGTGATACCTTTAGTCAAGTCATCAGCAACATTTTCAGTCGTGCGACAATGATACCAATCTGCAGGATTAGAATTCGACTGGATTTCGCTGACTCTGCACGACACAAATGGTTTCAGTTAGTTAGTCAGTCAGTCAGTCAGTCAAATCTTTATTTAAGCACGGTAGCTTCATCAGATTTACAAAAAATAGTTATATCTACATTAATAAGTTTAAAAGATTATATTTTCAAGCCTATGTTACATTAATATTTATACCTGTTTTCCATGAATGCCGTGTCTATCGAATATGATGTTTCAACAATTGTCGAAATCCAATAAGAGATTCCGCTTGTCTTATATTGCTAGGTAAGCTGTTCCATAACACTGCACCACTATAGCTAAAGCTATTTTTAAGATAATTGGTGAAGCACT